CGTTTAAAAACATTCCACTCAGTTTACACTGATGTTACATTTCCTTTGTGCCAGATGGAATGAAGTGAACCATGAAACCGTGTGTTATGTGCTCGAGCCTGGAGCTCTGAGGTGAGAGAAGGAGCTTCATGTGAGTCATACCGAGATACATTAATATAGTTTATTGTTCGTTCTTGTGTTTTTCTGCCTTTATCTTAGGTTATGTTACCTTAATTATATAACTTCTATGTTTTATAAATAGGTGTTTTTATATATTTTGGGTACTATGCATGTTGTTTTTAGATTCTTTCGAACTCTAATTGACAAAAGAGAGCCATACCTCCTTGCTGTATTATGGTTGTGCATATAGTTTTTTACTCGCCACTTAACTCAGGCTCAAGACAGACAGATGACAATATAAGCGTTACAATTGTGAGAAGGCTGTTTCTTATCTTGCTCATTTGGTTGCTAGTCGCTAATTGATCCCAGAATCTCATCAATCATCAAATTACCTTGAGTCCTTTTCAGCAGCATGGTAGTACAGTTTATTTAAGACGGTCACTACTCTCTGTGTAAAGAAAAGTAATCTGCTTCTCTATTTTTCTAAATACTTTTCCTCTTAATTTCCATTTGCGACCACAGATCTGTGTTCCTTCAGTCACCCTTTCAGGTGGGCCTATGTGTAGATGTTCGGTTTATTTGACTCAGCTGGAGATGTTTTAGAGTGTAATAAGCCAAGATATCGCCAGCAAATTTGCAGCAGCACACGGGAGGAATCTCACCAGGCTGCCGAGAAGCTGTGGCTTTTCAAAGGTCGGATCACGAATTCACAGGACCCCAAAGTAAAAGCTAATGTTTCAGCAGCTGTCTTCAGCATTGAGGTCAAGGCTTTGCGTTGTGGAGAAAGAAGGGTGAAGAAGAATTGGAGAAATCTCGTGGTGCGGATTCACCTTGGAGCGATAGCCCTGAAAGTGTTAAAATCTGCACAACCCTCGGAGCCAAGCGCCAAGGAAAAAGAATGAGGTTCGAGGAATGTTTTAAAGATAAAAAAGCAGAGAGAGAGAGTGAGAGAGAGAATAGAAGTTGAATATATATTTCACATGATAAGAGAAAGATGAAGCGTGGGTAAAAAAGATTCTATTACAGCTGAGACAGTTACAAAACTGGTGCCGTGAGAAGTAGCCTCTGTTGAAAAGATTGATGCAACTAGGACTGACCTTGGCTTGGAGCAGCAGTCGGTGATGTATGTATGAGCATCTCCCTGCTAAATGGACCCAGATTTGTAGCACTAATATACATGGAAGCCCAGTACCAAACTCAGGATGGCAATAAATCAACAGCCACTTTGGGTGTCATTTCTGGTTTGTATTCTACTATTGTTCTATCGCTTTAATTCATGTCACTATCATCTGTTCATCTGGAACAGTTTTATATAATTTTCCAGCGGACTTACCTGACAAATCCCATCAAATTAACAAGGTACATTAACAATATTGACTGGCTCCCTGGCTTCTGCAGCCATCGGACCATAGAATGAAATTTAGAAGCAGGTCCCCAGCTAGGGGAGTCGTGTTAGGAGCTTATTTTTTTTAATGCTATGGCGATGGATCACTAGTCCTTAAAAAATGAGCGTGTGACAGGACTGCCAGACAGTGTGTTCTGGGACCAGAAGAAGACGGAAGCTTAAGGGTACCTGTTGTGTATCCCCTCCGCTCCAGTGAGCCAGGGCTACTCCTATTGCAAAACTGAATGTAGCTTGCATGCTTACCGAGGCCCTGAGCAGGCGTTGGGGGCAGTGAGCTGAGCGGTGCACTCTGTGGAGTCTGGCATCCCTGTGCAGCCTGATGTTGCCTTGTAGCCCTGTATTAAAATGGCTGGCTTGTAATAGCACGTTGACACACTGGGAAGCCACAATCTCCACATCTTCAGTTTAAGATATTACCAGTAGCACCTTCCTTGTGTTTGTATAGACACACACTGTACAGAGCAGAACTGGCATAGAAATGTAGCAAGTACTGTAACTACAGCAACCAATTTTAAACCGCATTAAACATCAGGTTTTGCAGTTTGGTACTGAATTTACAATTCTTCTATGCACAGTAGTACCTACTTTTGTGCAGATACCTTGCCTTTTTTGCCTCTGCAGTGCTTACAGCTGCCTCTACAAGCCCATGCTTGTTTTCACAGCAGCTTCTGCAATCCCCCACCTCACGTGGGACAGCAAGGAGGACTTGATGGCGGGGAGGTGCGGGGGGCGGGGGGGCGTTTTGAGTGCTTTTGCGTTTCCGCCCGGTCCTGAAGCGTCGCTGGGATGCTCGGGGGTTAAAGACAAGGGGCTGGTGGTCTCCAGAGTGATATTCGTCAGGCTCTGTCTGAAGGGGGAAGCCTTCAGTCACAATAATAACCCTCCTCAAATGCAGCGCCTTTAACAAAGCTCTTTCACAACCATGTGTTGGGCTTCTCACACAGCAAATTGGAAGGCACAGTTTGAAGCACCATTAATGACAAATTATGGCACAGAAAGGCCATTAATGACAAAGCCACAATCATTACAATGATACACACTAAATTGATTAAACAACTGATTTTACTTGTAATTGACTACAGGGATGTCTTATGTACAAATGGTCTCTAAGCAGTTTTCAAGGCTTTATATGAGAGCTCTCTCTCTCTCTCTGGGCTTGTGCTGAGAATTCTGTGTTATGTGGTATATGCATCATACATTACAAAAATATATTATGCAAACCTAATATGCTTTTCCAAATAAAATTGTCACTTAGGAGAACGCAACAGAAGTGATACATTTGTACATTTAATTCTTAAAAGATGTCTCCAGACATCTACTGGATCTCATCTTATTTCATAAAAGCTACTGCGGTGCCTTTATGTTCTTCTAGGAGTAGAATTTAATATTCCTGTGTGCAGACCTGTAATAGGAAGACCCCCTTCCCCTGCTAGGCTTCAGGTGGCCACTGGCTGTGCTCTCTGCAGAAGAGGGTTGGTGCCCAGTGGTGGCTGGGGGTGCATCTCTGATGCTTTGATCCTCGTTCTGCGACTCAAATTCATTTGGCTTTGTTAAAGGTGAATGATGCTACAGCGCAGGGGGGACGAAGCTTGGCCTCTGTTTTGTCTCCTGGCCGCGCTGTGCCCCTCGTGTCCGCTCTCCTGAGGCAGAGGTCCGTCATGGCTCGAATCCTTGGCTCCAGGAGTTTCTCATTCCCAGGCATGGGTCGGCTGAGGAAGGATTATTAAACTCAGACCCTAGCGCTGGGATGTCGGAGTCGGATCCAGAGCTCATCTTAGCAGTTAGTTCGAGCACATGGGTCAGGTCCGAGTGAGCGTAACTACCCACGGAGAGGAGGCTGGAGACGTCAGCGGTGGCTTATTCACACGGTTTAGTCATTATTGTTTATGAAGCACCTCTCCAAGCCAAGAAGGCTGTACATAGTGATAAAGGAGAGAAACGTACAGTAACAAATAAAAGAGCACCCAGGTTTATACAGCTGGGATTGTAGGGCAGTCGGACATGGGGCCAGGGAGAAAGGCGAGTCTTGGGTTTGCGGAGGAAGGGCGTTATTGTGAAAGAACAGGGCAGCGTGGGCGTGTTCGGTTCTGCTGCGCAGGGGGTGGAGCCGCGGACTGCCACAGGAAGCACGAGACAAGGAAGCAGGACGCGTCTTAGTCAGACTGACGCTCCCGCGCGTTAACTGGCTCGACAGATCAGCCGGGGCCTGGAGCTAGGAAGAGCTGCTGTGAGCGACGTGTCCGTGACTTCCTCTACCATGATCCTCTCACTGTGAGAAAGGGGTGAAGGGAAAGTCGGAGCCTTGTGCCACAGTAATGAGGTGCCCAGGTGAAATGCCAGGATGTTGGAAAGGCCCAAGCTCAAAGACTACACCAGATCTAAGCAATAAATAACTGCTGAGCCACTTCTTACCCTGCTTTGTGACATCTTTCTCTTGCATCCTGACGGAGAGTAACCTGACCCACCGACTGCGTGTTTGTGTTCTCGTGCTCAGTAATGAGCTCATTTTGAATGAGCGCCGTGTTCTTTCAAGATTGAAAGCAGTAAAGGGAGCAAACCTAATAACCTTCCTTACTGGGGAAGGCTTGGATTTCCCAAGCCTTCCCCACACACCATGTGAGACAACATGGTTCTGGGGAGAGTTAGGAAGATGGCACAGACAGAAAGGAACTCGCTCATGGCCGCCAGGAGAATGACAGTGGTATGACCGAACAGTACTCGCATTGCCATTACGATGATTCCTGTATACCCTTGAGTAAGAAAACTCCCTGGGCTGATGCAGGGGTTTCTGCCAAATTTGGTGATGATACATACAGAAACAAAAAGTGGGGGGGTCATGCACTCAGTAATCTTGAAATTCTTGAGTCCGAGGTGAGGATCTGTAGCTCATTCAGTGAGAGTTCCCCCAGTGACCCCAAGAGGCAGAGGTGGAACAAAGCTCTTGGCCGGGAGTAGGACCACAGGTCTCTGCAGCAGGCAGGAGGTGAGCCATAGCACCAGTGTCAGTGTATGGCGGGAGACAGACAATCAGGCAGGCCAGAGTGTGGAGCATAGAGCGCAGGAGCAGCAACTGTATGTGGCAGGAGACAGACAATAAGGCAGGCCAGAGTGTGGAACACAGAGCGCAGGAGCAGCAGGACAGGCTACAGCCGCAAGCACAGGTCACAGGTTGGACAGATGTAGCAGTCGCCACTAAGACAAATGAGTCAACGAGTATAACGACAACTATAAAAATATAAATGAGGAAGATGAGGGGCAGGAATCACAAGGTGGTATCCTTTCATGTTTATAACCCGCTCACCTGAAGCTTTGTAACCTAAGAAGGACGCATCCCCCAGTACAAAATTGAAACTGCATTTTTTGGGTTTGAATTCCTAGTGTTTGTGCACCCAGTTTGCCGTGAAAAAGGTGTATCATGAGGCCGACCTGAAATCGCTTGTGCGGCTGACTGACTCTCTTCCCCCCTCCCTCCCCCCTCGCTTCCCCACCTGCGCAGGTATCTCTGGGGAGAAGGTGGAGATCGACCCTGTGACAAACCAGAAGGCCAGCACCAAGTTCTGGATCAGACAGAAGCCCATTTCCATCGACTCGGACCTCCTCTGCGCCTGCGACCTTGTGGAAGAGAAGAGCCCCAGTGAGTGTTGCTGTCCCGTCTCGCGTCGCCTCTGTGTCGGGTTCCGAATCGTGCGCCGTTAACAGCGAAAGTAAAAGCTGATCTTCTTCCACATCGGAGTGACCGCAGGCTTTGCTTTGCTTTCCCTCTGGCTGCAGATGAAGAGAAGCTGCCGCTGTGAGCGCGATGTGCCGGCGCACAGGTTTGAGTGGTACGGCGGCGTTTCTGTAATGTCCCATCCAAAGCTATTGTTCGCGTGATAATGTGTGCGTATGCGGGTTGCATTTAACCTAAAATCCGTCTCGCCCTGCCTGTAATGCACCCATGATCAGTCTCTTTTCTTCCAGCACAGCTTCAATTTTGGCGTAGCATGGAAGTTATTTAATCAGTGTTACCGTCCTGTGTTCACAGTATATTACCAATTCCGCCTGCGATCTCTATCAGTGCGGTGATGTATGTATGAAGCAGATGTTACAGTGGGAAGAGAAAAAAATCAGAGGGCATGAATTCATGAATTATTAGAAGCCAGGAATGGGAGAAATAGATATGGAATTGTGAGGCCTGTAATATGTTTGGTTTCTGCTCCTTATCTCGCCAAACAAAAGTGTCCCTTATCTGCCTTGCTGGGGACTGCGAAAACATCGCACGACTTGAGACCTTTTTTTATTTCCTTCATCCTCCTGCTCTTCTTGGGAATCAGAGGAGTGTGAGTGAGACGTGCGGCCAACAAATGTGGTACCATACCAAGGCGCGTGGTGTTTCTGTTACACACACACTGACACCTGCTGGTCGAGGGCTTGTTGGCCCGCAGAGAAATAGCATTGTTTTGGGGTTTTGGGCCAGTCTCCCCATGCTTCTCCAGGTTTCCCAAGATTATGATAATTATAATAATAATAAGATCCTGTGCACAGCCGCCGATCTGTGATCGCGGTGGTCTGGTGGGTGTGTGTAGGGGGAAACTGCCATCACATCTCTGTAATATTATCCTTTTCCCAAGTCCTCCAGCGTCTTATATGACGGTGTGACATTTCCATTTTACTTGAGTTTAATCTCGATCTTCTAAATAAAACTCTCTAGCCTGCAGGCCTTACCCAGCCTGACCTAGTCCTACTTTAATCAAATGAAATTAAATAACTGCAGATTACCGCCGCGCTGGTCCTGACAGCTGGCCTGACGAGTGGATTGGATGGCAAAGTCCCCGAAGAAAAAACAAAAATTGAGAAAGAGAAAGAAAAACCACGAACCTGAAAACGAAATTACCGGGCACTTCTTTACCCAAATACGACAGAGAGGCGGTTCTCTGCCACCCGTCGGGCAGATGCCATTATTTTCACTTTCTGGCTGTTCGAAATTTGTTGGAATTTTTACGGGCTGTTGCCTGGGCTGTGGTGGGCATCGACTGGGAGGGAAGGGTCCGTCGCTAGTGTTTTTTTTTAGATCTAGCTTTTTTTTTTTTGCCGTGCGTGTTTATTTGGACCTTTTTGCATGAGAAGCCGTGAATGCTGGGTTTTAGGTTTAAGACCCGGGCGTCAGCTGCCTGGTCGCCATGGCGCATCGGGGCCAGAGGCGTTTGCTCGAACCTTCCCAGACAGATTCCCCGTGCTCTTCGCTGTGACGCACAGTTGCGAAGTTTCTGCCTTGCGCCCCAAGCGCAAGTAAACGGGGAGCCGTGTACGTGACCCGAAACTCCCCCCTCTTGCTCGACAGTGCTGCCTCGATTAGGGGTTAATGCTGTGCAGCAAATGAGGAGATTCGATGTTGAGTGCTTCACAGGTCAAAGAAATATCCAGGTAACTCACGGCAGCTTTTTTTTTTTTTAATAGCATGTACTGCTCCCTGTAACCCAGATCTCCTCCAAGATCTCATTCCTTTGTTGCACTGGGGCTGAACACTATGTTAACCTAGTAATTGGCATTGGGCCTTCCCCATTATATGGCTTTCTATCGAGCGGTTCTACATGACTAGTTAAAGAAGATGGCATGAAGATTAATGAAGGCGAGCTAATACAGAAGAGGGTACCTTCCCAGCACTTCCACTGAGGAGATATTAGAGCTCGACGAGAGCCGGGCTCTTTTTTTCCCTCCCCTCTCTGTCTTCTTTTTTTTTTTTTGCCTTTAACCTGCGACCTTTGGACCTTCCTTTTTCTTGTGAGCTGCCACTTTGGCCGCAGCTGTGATTGATGTTGCTACACCAGTCAGTCCTTTCTCTTAGAACTGGCGGTTTACAGGGGGGGCGGGGGGATGCCTTTCCAGCTCAGTCCAAGCTGGCGGCTCGTGATCGGCGCATCGATGGCAGAAATCCTTTCATGTAGTATTCGTTTAAAACCAGAGGTAGCTGCCGCGCAGTAATCCAGTTGGCCTCGCCTGCCTCGGTTTTTTCCGTTAAGATTGCTTTTATTCAATTCTTGCTTGTGCCTCAAACAAATCCTCCTGATAGACTCTCTGAGATGCAAGTTCAGAAGCACCCAGGAAGACAATGCGAACAAAACAAAGGCTCCTTGCCCAGCCTGCCTGGTGCATCGTGGTGGTTTTTAAGGGAAAGGGAAAACCTTGCACTGAATCAGTGTTCTGACAGAGCATTACAATATTGTCACACTTAACATGCTAAAATATTTATACTGTTTAACTTTTAATGTATCCTCCGTTGATTTTGAATGTATAATGTCCTTAAAACGAGTGCACTTTAATGCATTCATAAATACGAATTATATTTTTTTCATCCTTCGTAGGGCTTCCTAATACAATAATCCACAATCAATGAGGTCTGAGCAGCCAGTGCATCTGTGTTATGTTGTATTTTATCCTGTGTTTTTGTTTAGATTTAACTTAAATGTAATGATCTATTTCTGAACAGGGTTTTAGCAAGATTCTCTGGGAGTGTGACATAAATAACAAGGCAAGCAGCAGTCCTGGTGCACCCATCCAGGAGATAAATTAACAAAGCTATCGGGAGGTTGCGGTAACGCTTTGCTGAGATGTAAACTGCCTGGTATTTGGCGTTAGGGTTTGGAAAGACTTTGTGATTCCTGAGAATGCAGCCTGAAAGGGCGTCTTCTTCGGGGTCTGCCTTTTGGAGTCTGTTGTGTTTGGAGGGAGGAGGTTTAAAACCAGACAGAGTTATCGAAATTCTGCAGCACTTAAGAACAGTAAATGACTATAGTGAAAAGGACTCTGGAATATGCTGTGGGAATGTCAGACAGGGTCCTGTTGGCCTATTGCAAAGCAAGGAGAAGGTTTTGCTTATTGAAATGAAATTGTCAAAGCGCTTGCAGCTACAAAAAACTCACGTCTTATTGATACTCCACCTAACCACCTAGCCAGGTGTGCGCAAAATCAAGCTGTCGAGAAGCTAAAATCCACCCTAATGTGCGATTCGCAATTGCCCCACTGCACCCAGTGTGTGTCTCAGCTTTGTGGGGCGCAGCAGGGACGGGGGACTTTTTCTTTTATTCAGCGCTAAATATGCAAGCAGGATGCATTGAACTTTCTGAAGTGCTGTGCTATATATTCATGAGGGATTTAACTGTGTTTTTCTGCTTTTTTCAATCTGCTCCAGTTTGTTTAGCCTTTACCAAGCAGGTACGTGCCACGATAGGGGCAGCGCAAGAGAAACCTAGCCTGGGTTTTTTTTTTACTCTTTCTAATCATAAATGAAATTGTGACACATAAGGGCGCCCAATCATATGGTACATATTGCCTCATCCTTTTAACAAATACGTTTCATAGCCCTATTAAAAGGGGTCTTCATCTGTCCTGTCAGCGCCAGTCTACCGGGGTTTTTTAGTTTAATTACACTATCCAATTAAAAAACTCTTCGCCGCATTTTGATTCGCCTCTCCTTGGGTTTGAGTGGATATGACATTTACAAGGCTTGCCTTTCAAGCAGACAATGGTGTGATTGATGAGGTGCAGACGCTATGAAGGAGGCGATTGCCGTGTGGAAGCAGTGCTTAGTGCACTTTGATTTATTTATCATCTGTTTCTGAAACAAGGCTGCCTGGTCCCGCTGGCTGGTGTCGACACGCCGGCGGGGGGCTAGGAAGGTGGGCTGAGCCGTGATTTACAAGGGGGGGGGTGCCGAGTGGGGAACCAGGGTCCAGGGTGGGGTGTTGGGGGCGCAGGGGGGTTGGCAGGCAAAAACCAGAGCAGTGGGGACGTGTTGATCGCAGCACAGCGTAGCGCAAACCCCATTCGTTCACACAGCAGCCAGGGCGCGTGCGCGCCAGGCAGGGGGCGCTGTCGGACCCTTGGGCAGGTGGTGTTTTTTGTGTGGCACCGGCTTAGTCTAAGACGTACGGGGGCTCAGAATTGGAAGTTTGGGCTTTTTTTGTTGTTTTGTAAAAGCAACAGTATGCAAATAGCTCTTCCCCAAGTACCAAAGCGAACACAGATGATTGAACCGGAGGTGTTGTGTGCCATTCAGGCAGATCAAGTAGTTATTAGTGATTGATCTGCTTTCACAGCGCAGCCTTTGTGCAGGGAGAGGCAGATGTGGCCGGGAGTGGCTGGGATGTCCCGTTCCCTCTCCGGGGTGACAGGAGGAGCTGTGTGGTCAGGCGGTGTTGGTGACCACGGTGTTCGCCAGTGGGCAGTATTCCCGACTAGCGCCGCTGATTCACAGCTCTTGGGCTCACCAGTTCGATTCCAGGCTGGGGAGCCCGCTGTCTGAAGTTGGCATCTTCTCCCCACATTCCAGTTGGTGTGCTCTGGGTGTTTCGTAGCTATCGGAACAAATCAGTCGTGTGTTGTTCCGTCATCGTGCTTTAGCGAATTTGTGTGGAATTCACAAGATTTCATATCGATGCAAAAGATGATGAAGTGTCTTTTTTTTTTTTTTAAAAAGCTTTTTTCCCAGCTCTCTGCATTTCATCTCTGAGCTCCTGAATTGGTGTCTGCTTTTGTGTTTTCCGTTTGAGATGAATTTTTAGGATGCGAATAAAGTCTACCAAGGATCCCAAGACAGCTTCCTCTTCATACATATTTATAAAAGTCTAATAAGATAAATTTTCCTCATTGGATGAA